GCCTAGGCTGGAGTGCAGTGGCATAATCTCGGCTCACGCAATCTCGACCTCCTGGTTAAAGTGACTCTCCTGCCTCAGCCTCCCGAGTAGCTGGGACTACAGGCATGAGCTACCACGTCCAGCTAATTTTTGTATTTTTAGTAGAGATGGGGTTTCACCGTGTTGGCCAGGCTGGGTCTTCCCCTTGCTTTTCCCACTGCCTTGTGCACAGACCTCCCTAGAGCCTTGGTAACATGTGCAGTGTGCTCTAGCCATTGCCTCTCACTCCCCATTGGCAGGCCCCTGGGCCTGGGTCTCACCTCCCTAAGCCTGCTGCTTAGGCCAGCGGTCACCACAGAGGCAGCCAAGAGCCACCAGGCTACTGACCACTCACTCCTGCAGCCTCCTTCTCAGGCAGGGCTGTGCTGACTGGTAGCAAAAGGTTCAGGGAAGAAGAGACTGGGGCCTAGAGACTCAGAAGCAAACATCTTAGAAGGAAGGGGGCTTCCAGATGCACCTGCCCTCACGCACAGTCAGCAAAGCAATCTCCTAGCAAGGGGTTTCTTGAACTTCAGCTGGTTAACCATGGTGTGGCCACTCCAGCTGGCCCCAGCAAGGCTGAAGAATAGCAGCCCCACTCAAGGCGTTCTCCACAGCACCGCCTACAGCAAGGAGGATGTGTGCTTTTTCCACCCCCATGGCCCCTGGAGAATCCTACCTAGTCTTCAAAACTCCACTCAAATGTCACTTCCTCTCTGAAAGCTTCACCAGCCTCCCCAGGAGGGATTTCTCACTCCTCTGTGATTCGAAAGCATCCTGACATTTCTTTTGCATAATATTCTGGTTGTTGGGAGGTCTGGTTCCCAGCTACACTGTGAGCTCCCAGAGGGCAAAGCAGCATCCTGTTCATTTCAGACTCTCGTGGCTTGGCAGCAGATAGATCACTAAGTAGTATTCAACAAAGTTGAGTAAATGAAAGAAAAAATGAATGAGTGAGCAAGTGAGTGAATAAATGGGTGAATGAATGAAGTCAGCACATACCTAGACAAAAGATTGGCAGAGAGAAAATTTTTTTTTTGTTTTGTTTTGTTTTTTTGTTTTTGAGACGGAGTTTGACTCTTGTTACCCAGGCTAGAGTGCAATGGCACGATCTCGGCTCACCGCAACCTCCGCCTCCTGGGTTCAGGCAATTCTCCTGCCTCAGCCTCCTGAGTAGCTGGGATTACAGGCACGCACCACCATGCCCAGCTAATTTTTTGTATTTTTAGTAGAGACGGGGTTTCACCATGTTGACCAGGATGGTCTCGATCTCTTGACCTCGTGATCCACCCGCCTCGGCCTCCCAAAGTGCTGGGATTACAGGCTTGAGCCACCGCACCCGGCCGGCAGAGAGAAAATTTTAATCAGGGAAAAGCAATTAGAAAATAACAAAATTTTTTTTTTGAGACTGAGTCTTGCACTGTCACCCAGGCTGGTGTGCAGTGGCACAATCTTGGCTCGCTACAACCTTTACCTCCTGGGTTCAAGCGATTCTCCTTCCTCAGCCTCCTGAGTAGCTAGGATTACAGGTGCCAACCACCACACCCAGCTAAATTTTTGTACTTTTAGAAGAGACAGGGTTTCACTATGTTGGTCAGGCTGGTCTCCAACTCCTGACTTTATGATCCTCCCACCTCAGCCTCCCAAAGTACTGGGATTGCAGGCGTGAGCGACTGCGCCTCGCCATAACCCACAATTTAAAGCCAGCTGTTAGCCCTTCTATAGTTCATGGTGCCGCAGTCATAGAGCTCTCAGTAAATTTTTTCTTTTTTTTTTTTCCTGAGACAGGGTCTTACTCTGTCACCCAGGTTGGAGTACAGTGGTGGGATCACAGCTCACCGCAACTCTTGGGCTCAAGCAATCCTCCCACTTCAACCATCCGAGTAGCTAGGACTACAGGCACATGCCGCCATGACCAGTCAATTAAAAAAGTGTTTGTCAGCCAGGCATGGTGACTTAGGCCTGTAATCCCGGCACTTCGGGAGGCCGAGTCAGGTGGATCACCTGAGGTCAAGAGTTTGAGACAAGCCTGGCCAACATGGTGAAACCCAGTCTCTACTAAAAATACAAAATTAGCTGGGTGTGGTGGCATGTGCCTGTTAATTCCAGCTACTCAGGAGGCTGTGGCAGGAGACTCACTTGAACCTGGGGGACAGAGGTTGCAGTGAGCTGAGACTGCGCTATTGCATTCCAGCCTGGGCAAAAAAAGAGACTCTATTTCAAAAAAAAAAAAAAAAAAGAGAGAGAGACGGGATCTTGTTATGTTGCCCAAGCTGTTCCTGAACTCCTGGCCTCAAGCAAGGCTCCTGCCTCAGCTTCCGGAGTACGTAGGTTTATAGGCACAAGCCACTGTGCCCAGCTATAGTTCTTAATAAATATATTACCAAAATGGTGAGATGAGGGCAACACTCAGATCTCATCCTCAGAGGCCCTCCGCCTGGCCTCCTCTATCCCAGGCCCTACTCTCCCTCAGGGGGCCATGGAAGGGGAGCAGCCTGCACCCACAGCAGAAGCACAAGGTCCCTCAGCCCAGAGCTCTCAGGTGGGGTAGAAAAGGCACTCAGACACTCCCTTGGCTCACAGGAGAGAGCTTCTACGTGGAAACCTGTGGGAGGGACTTGGGATGAAGAATATGCCCAGAGCAAGTGTGGAGGAACTGAAGGACAGGAGATGGCTGGAGTTCAGATCTCCTCCAGGCAAGATGGGAGGGATCGCTTCCCTCAGGGCCTCTCAGTTATAACGCAGGGCTGACGATTGGCCCTTCCTCCTCTCCTCAGTGGGAGGACTTACTCGTCCAGGAAGCCCTGTGATCCCCTTGACAAAGCTCACTGACCATAGAGAGGCACCAAGCAGAGGGCAGAGGCCTGTACAGAAAACGGACAGTTTCACAGGGAAACTGCTGCAAAGATTAGATTACAGAAGGTGGCACTCTGAGAAGAGCTGGTGATCAGGGTAGAGGGGTCATGGCCAAATATCAGCTTCCATGTTATAAAGCTCATCACCAGCCTGTCTGGGGAGCAGGGAGAAGGAGGGAGGAGGAGGAAGGAACGGAAAGCAGGGAGTGCATGGAGGTAGGAGGAACCGGTGCTCCCAGCTGTGGGTGCATCTGCGGATCTGTGAGCGTGGCACAGATGCACAGAGCAGCTGAAACCCTCTGCCGGCTTCAGATACGTTCCTTCCCAAGGGTTATGTCCTTGGGAAGCAGCGGGAGGCCGGGTCTGTGCCTGTGTCAGGAGGAGAAACAGGCCTGAGGCAGAGCGACACCTGGCAGAGGCCCAAGCCTTGAGGCAAGGCCAGCCCATCCTCTCCTCTCTGGTCACCCCACTGCTTCGTACCTCCTCACCACCTCATTCTTCCTTCTCAGACTCTGGCACTGCCAGGGGAAGGGGGGTACTAGAGCAGAAACGGAAATGAAACATAGCTTCCTATGTGCTCCCCTGGAATGTAAGCCAGCTCCTTGGTTTCTGTCTGTTTTGGTCACCACTGTATCCCCAACTCCTAGCACGGCACCTGGCACATAGTTGGTGCCCAATAAATAGTGCCTGAATGACGGAGTGCACTAGCGACGGATACACAGGACGACCTCCTAGCACACTGACCGTGTATTCATCTCTACAACATCCTTAGAGCTAGGAATAATAATAATACAATGATAGCAGCTATTATATGATCCAGGGCCCTGCCAAGTGCTTTGTATGTGCTAGGCTCTATAATCTTCACAACAACCTTTAAGAAAGACTCTGTCACCATCTTCAATTTACAGATGCAGAAACGAAGCACAAAGATGTAATCAAAGTGTCTGAAGGTCACAGAGCCAGTACCGCCACAGGAGATGTGTGTGTTCATCTAGGCTCTTTCCATTCTACTCATTCTTCTTACCTTCTCCTCCTTTCTAGGTAGTTGGGGAACAGAGTAGGTAGAGACTGGTCTCAGGCTGCCTGAGGGCTGGTAAAAACCCAGCCCTGACCCCCTCACAATGTCACATTGCGTTTGTCCCCAGCTACTCTCAGTCTAGAAACCTGCAAACCCCAGGATTCTAGTGTCTAAGCACATGCCCCAATGTCTGTTAGGTCACTCTGTTCCAGGCTTGGATCTAACCCCACCCCCTCCCTCACCCTCTCGCACCTCCTCATCACAAGCCCTTGCCCCAGGCAGCCAAGCCAGTCCCAACAGAACTCCCTGAGAAAGGTAACACAGCAACCCAGCCTGAGAAAGCACCCTGAAGCAACAGCAGCCCAACCCGTCCAACCAGATCACAGCCACACAGGCCAAAGCCGCCTCCTCACCCAGAAAGGGTGCAGCCTGGAGGGTGGCTTTCAAAACAAAAGCTCCAGGGACTAGGTGACAGGTCTACTCAGGGAAGACTAAGGATGGGAGGGAGAAAACCAACTCCTGACGGGAGTGAGGTTGCTCATGCCTATAATCCCAGCACTTTGGAAGGCTGAGGCTGGTGGATCAGGAGTTCGAGACCAGCCTAGGCAACATAGTAAACCTCATCTCTACAAAACATACAAACATTAGCTGAATGTGGTGGCGTGCACCCTGTAGTCCCAGCTACTTGGGAGGCTGAGGCGGGAGGATTGATTGGGTTTAGGAGATTGAGGTTTCAATAATCCATGATTGTGCCACCACACTCCAGCCTGGGTGACAGAGTGAAACCTAGTCTCCGAAAGGAAGGGAGGGAAAGGGAGCGGAGGGGAAGTGGGGGAGAAAACCAACAACTCCTGAGCAGTGTCTTCAGTTTCCATTTGTGGTTTATATCATCTCACTCCTGGACACCATGCAGAAAGGTCCTGAAAGGCCCCCTGAACATAGATGTCCATGTGTGACATCTCATGGCATAGGTCCCATGAGATCCTTTCAGAAGTTGCCAGGTTGATTGGTTTGAACCACTCCCCATTCAGGAGGGAAACCAGAGCAGGTGACTGTGTGGAAGTTGGTGTTGGTACCACCAGGGGTGAGGAGCCATTCAGAGGTTCCTTCATGCCCAGATACTACTGCAGGCCCTGACTGGTCTCCCTGCTTCAAGTCTGAACCCCTTCTTCCAGCCAACCTCATTAGGACCCTACTCACAAACCTTTCCTACCATTGCTAAGGCTTCCATTCCACCTCCTTAGCCAGGCTCTCAATGCCCTCTGCCAACTGATCCCTACGTTCATTCATTAATTTAACAACATGCATTGAGATCTGCCTGGCCCTGTACTAGGGACTATGAAAACAATGAGGAATAAGATTTGGTTGCACCATCAAGGCACTTATAGTCTGGGAGACAGAGAGGTAAACAGGAATGTTCTCGCACTTCTGAAGAGCCCCTTCTGTTGCAGCTAAACTGCCTAGAGCCCCATGAACGCCCACTCAATCCCACCTGTTTTCTCTGCTCATGTTACTCCATCTGCTCTCTTCTGCTGCAGGAACTGATGAGCAGCCCACACTGGGGCCTAGCTTCAGCCTTCCCTGCCGGCTGTAGTTCACAGGGGCCTCTGTCTTCCCCAGCCTCCACCAGCACCTAGTCGTGGCAATAGCACTCACCCATCCCTTCCTATCACCATTCTCCGGCTGCCTCATGGTACATCTTTCATCATAATTTCACTTCTGATACCCACTGTGAGACTTTCGTTAAGAGTAACTGTAATGATCATAATCGATCCTTTTTATTTGAAGAGTGATTCACCAAGTACTTTCAGATATCTCATTTTGCCAATAGCTCTTTTTTTTCCCTTTGTCTTGCCTGTCCATCTAGATTATGGGCTTCTGTGGGTAGGAGAGTAGACTACAATATGTCTTTAAAAAGCCTGGCAGAGGGCTTGGTAGGGAATGCTCAATTCATTTGTTTAAGGTAGTCCTTTGGGGACCCCCCTGCACCAACCCCCATCCAAGCCAGCACAGCTGCATAGGAAGGAAATGCCCATGGCAGAGATCCAGCAGCAGGGCCACCTGCCCGCCTGCTGGCCAGAAAGAAGAAACGGATGGGGGAAGGGACAGTCAGTGTCTCAGTCTACCAGGGAGGTCTGTCACTGCTCCCTGGCAGGTTCTTCTCTACAAGACCACAGGCTGTTAAAGCAGAGTACACAGTAAATCACAAAAGTACTGGCCTAGGTGATATTAACATGAGCCAAGAAGCCGTACTATCTTGGCAGTCACTGGTGAATTACCTCATTTTCTTAATTCACAAAAATAAAGCCCCCTGGGAAAGGTGCTTCAATCAGTGCCCGGCATGGCCGTGTAATGTGTTTTAGACAATGCACAGTTTGAGAACAGTGACTGTGGGTACTGTTTGTCTCAGGATCTCTTGGTCTTAGTGCAGAGCCTGGCATACAGGACACGAATTTTTTTATAAAATAAGCAAATGAATATGACCTGGTAGACTCATTTCCTTGGCTCCTTGATCTGTGTCCTGGCTGCCCCTTCTACCTCCTTGAGAAACTTCCCATATCACTTAAGGAAAAAGATTTTCTTGACCATCCAACTCTTTCCCTTAAGTTTTAGTTAATACTGAAAAACACGCCCAAGAGAAGGGAGAATCACAAGTCCCTTAATAAGCTTTAAATAAGAAAGCATTTAAGATACCCAGTGGGGCAGATTTTAAAAGGCTGGTGTGAAGAAAGACAGGTTTCTTTCTATTCCATGGAATCCAAACTCCTAAAGAGTCCCCTGTCCTGTGGAAAGGGGAACCCTAGAGAATTCTCTGAGTCTTGTGGAAAGGGGGACCCTAAAGAGTCCTCTGTGTCCTGTGGAAAAGGGGACCGGCTGTCAGAAGCAGAGGAAGAACTTTGGGAGCTGTCTTTAGGTTTTAGGCCAATATACCAAGGGCCTTGAGGGGAGACGGTGCTGCAGAGATACCCCTACTTATTTCACTGATTCATTTCTGTGCCCAAAGCGGTCAGCCCTGGAGGTTTTGTGGAAGTCCCTGTGACCTATCTAGTGTTCATCTATTAGCAGAAGGTGTCTAAGAAGGGAGATTACAAGGGGAAGAGACAAGAAGGGTGGGTGATTAGAGGTGCGAGGCAATGAATCTAAGGAGAGCAGGAGCCTCAGAGGGCCATCCTGGTATTTTAGAAACAGGAGTGCCCTCAAAAAGGAGGGTACATGTCTCCCAGGGGAGGCTGCCTCCCACAGCACTAAGCAGGAGTACCAGGGCTTCTGAAATGAGGTGGTTGAAGAAAGCCCTCATAAAGTCCAGGTCACCCATAGGACTTGGAATGTGACCCGGAGAGCAGGTGCAAACAACTGCTCTTCAGGCAAAAGCCAGGGCCTCCCAGGCAGCCCACAGCTCTCTTCAGATAGCTCAGTAGTCCCAAGCACCAGGCCCCTCTCAAAAATAGCCACTCCTAGTTTCCTTAAGGGATAGCCCGCTGCCCTTTGTCCCTGAGCCCACAACCTGTCCTCATACACCATCTGGTTCCTCTGCCACTCCCTCCATCACTCCCATGCTTTCTCCTGCACCTGCCTGTTCCCTAAGTCCTCCCAGCAGGCAAACAGCCTTGGTGTCTCTAGGCCCCCCTTCTTTCTGCAATGTCTCTCATCCAAACCATGGCTCAGCCCAAGCTCCTGGGTTTCCTAGGAACTGACCTTACAGCTCCTCTAAGAGAGATGGACACGTTTTGTTCCCTGACCTGAAGTGCCGTTGTTTCATCCTTCAAGTTGGTGAAACAAAGAGAGAAGAAGACCCTAAGAGCACAATGATAATGGCAATAGCTGTAAGAACGATCAGCATTTATCCAGCTCCGCCGTGTGTCTGGCTTAACAAACATTATCTCATTTAATAGTTACAACAACTTGGGAGGTAGGTGCCATTATTATACCCATTCTACAGATAAGAAGCTAAATAAAGCTCAGAAGTTAAGCAATATTCAGGGTCACTTTGCCCCAAAGTGAGGTCTCAGGTCTCTCTGACAACAAAGCTGGCTTCTTAACTAGAAGGTTCTGTTCCTCCTGGCTGTATCTGTCTGCTCCCACTTCTCCCTAGGTAAGGGGAATGGGGGGTGGACGTGGACAGAATCCTCAAGAGGAAGCTGAGAGCTGGGGCCATCCCTAATGGAAGCAAGGACTTCGAGGAGAGCATTCCAAATGGATAGCCAGCCAGCCAGCAGGTGTTTCCAGGGGCCTGGGCCATGCAGAGGCTATTCCTGGGCTGACCAGGGCAGCAGGTGAGGATGGAATTCCCTCAACTCAGACTTCTCAGGGAGGGGCCCCTCACAGTCTAGGAGAGAGCGACTGTCTCAGAGGGGCGGCCATGGACCCACACCTAGCATCATAGTGCTGTCCGGGATGCCACCGGGCCTTGTCCCACTAACCACATGCTCCAGCACTGCCAAATGAGAGATGCCCTAAGGTGGGTCCCACCTGCCTTCTGACCCCTTGGTCTGGGCAGGTCTTCCTGCCACTCCTCTATCCTCTTTAGCCTCCCTCAGAGCAGACACCTCGGCTCCTCTTCCGGCTCCTCTTCCCAGGCGCCAGGGGCTCTTCACCCTATCTGTGCCCTCCCCCAGGTGTCCCACCTTGCAGCTTACCTTCCCAACTCTGCCCTGGAAACTCGATCCCTGCGGCCCCTCTGTACCTCCTCTCTTACCGTCCCCCCCCCACCACCCCGCCCTGCTGGCTCCACCTTGGGTCACCACTGAACCAAGGGCGCCTTAGTGACTCCGGTCTCCACCCTGACCCCCTTTTCCCCAGCACAAGCTTCACTTCCCCTCCCCCTCCCCCTCCAGCTGGGGGTGTGGGGATGTTATTCCAGCGGCTACGATTCTTGCTGCCCCAGCTCGGGGTACCCAGGCCTACATCCGCCCTGCCCACCCCGCCCGGTTTCTCGGTTTAGTGGGAGGGAAGACTCTCCGGCGAGAGGCGGGAGACCCCACCCCTAGCCCGGACAGCAGCAGCAGGGACCCCCTCACCTGCCGGAACCTACGCTCACCCTGAGATTTAACCCGGGCTCCGGCCTCCGCGCTACCGCCTCCAGCCGGAGAGGCGGGTAATTCCTCCCCGGCGGGGGACGGGAGCGGCGGGGGAAGGGGCCGCCGGCCGGGAGGGAGGGGTGCCCCGGGCCACCGCCCCTTACCGATGGTGGAGATGTGGGAGGAGTGGAACTCGTTGTCGGTGAAGCGGCACAGCAGACAGGTCTTGCCCACCCCGGAGTCCCCGATCAGCAGCAGTCGGAACAGCACATCGTACTGCTTCGCCATGGCTGGGGCCCCAGGGGCCGGGGGGCTGCGGGCGGGCGGCGGGCTCAGCCCTGCTCCGTCGCTGCCATCGCGGCCCGCGCCCGCCCGCCTGCCCACTCGCCCGCTGGGTGCCGGGAAGCGCGGCTGTGGCGGGAGCCCGGCGCGGCGCCCGTTCGGCTCCGCTGGGCTGGCGCGCGGCGGTGGGAGGAGAAAGCGGCTGCGGCCCCTGCCCGCCCCTTCCCCTGCGCCTCCGCCGCCGCCCAGGAGCGAGGGGGCGGGGAGCGCGCGCCGGGGAGCGGGACCCCACGGAGCGGGCTACGCCGGGGCGGGGCGCCAGCCCCCCTCCCAATCCCTTCGTGTCCAGGGTGGGTGAACGTTTTCGTTTTCCCGCGGACGTTCCGAATGGGGGAGTTGGGGTGAGCCCCCACCCAGCCCACCTCTACCATGCTTGGCTTTCTGGGCTCACCACTTCTTCCCATATCCCACCCCAAGTCTGATCCCGGTAACTCTGCCCGCCTTGGCACCCTGCATCTGCAGGAGCCTGGCTGGGCTCCCCACTGGCCGGTCCTCACTTGGGCTCACCCGAGGTGGGAAGGCCTTGAGCAGGATCTGGATTCAAGCACCTGTCACCGTGAGACCCCGAGAGTGTGGCTGGAATTCCCCCTCCCTGCCACCTGGCTGCCCCTTACCTGTGTGACTGTCACGGCCCTCCCCCGCTCCCATGTTTTCTTTAAATGGGGAAAATGCCTACTGACGTCCTTAGCCAGGGTGAAAAGATAGATGATCCTAAAAACACCTCCAAGTGCTAAATCCTTTGGAGTTGTGCAGGCAAAAGTCTCTGTTTTCCCTGTAAATTGCTTAGGATAGGTACTCACGTGGCCAATATACTGTTTCAGAATCCTAAATGTCTCTATGTGGTATAGCCAGTGGCACCAAAGAATGAATGGCCCTTGTTCAAGACCCAGTTTTCTATCACTGAATGTGTTAGCACCTAAGAGAGGCAAACCAGTGCTCTCTGGAGTTGAGAAAATTGCCTATCCTTACCAACGAGTATTAAGGGAGAGCAAAGTCTAGCCCATTTGGTCTTTAAAAAGCAGTGAAAGGCCAGGAGCGGTGGCTCATGCCTGTAATCCCAGTACTTTGGGAGGCTGAGACTGGCAGATCACTTTGAGGTCAGGTGTTCGAGACCAGTCTAGCCAATGTAGTGAAACCCTGTAAGAATACAAAAATTAGCTGGGTGTGGTGACACACCTGAAATTCCAGCTACTTGGGAGGATGAGGTGGGAGGATTACTTGAACCCAGGAGGCGAAGATTGCAGTGAGTGAGATCACACCACTGGGCTCTAGCCTGGGCAACAGAGTGAGACCCTGTCTCAAAAACAAACAAACAAAACAATGAAAACGTATATATGTATATACCTGTTTTCAGGCTGCATGTTGGATGGAGAATGTATTTTTCAGTAGTAGGTCAAGGAAAGTGGTAAGTCCATTTACTTCATTTGGAAAGGTATATTTCAGGCAAAGTGTCTGAATTATAATAAAGAGGGAAAAATCCCAAGCCTGCTAGCTACTCTGATTACACTGAAAGCTAAAGGAACCGATGTAGTGGATTCCATTATTTCCAGGTACATATCTCTACACTGGGCTTACATGGGGTTCCAGGTGCATGCCAAGGGATCTGGAGTTAGGCACATTTGGGCTCCAGTCCCAGTGACACCACTCACCAGCTATGCAACCTTGAGCACATCACTGAACCCTTCTGTGCCTCAGTTTCCACACCTCAAAATAGGATATTTAGAGTGACTGCCTTATAGGATTGCTGGGAAGATGAAATACGATGATGTATCAAAAGGACAGCACAGCAGTTGACACAGCACTCAATAAATGCTGAGGTGCTGAAAACACCCTGTAATGCCTTCCCTGTGCATCCCTGGGTGGTAAGAATATCCCACAGATGAATATGGCCAGGGATGTTTTCTATGAACCGAGGCCCAACCTGCTGTGATTTTCTTCCCATCACCACCAAACAGAGTACCGAGCACAGATCCAACCCAGCCTGACCCTCTTTGGTCTGTAATGATAAATAGCTCTCTGCGGGCCTCCTCCTTGGGACCCTTAGTGGCTCTCTGCTTGCTTCTGTCCGAGGAAAGGGGAAAGAAAATGCAAGCTGACGTGGATTCCTCACTTCACTTTGAAAGAAATGGCTTTCCCTAGGCAATGAAAGGGAATGAAGTTTGCTGAATGAATCCAGAGACATAAATGTTCATACTCATAAAAAATTGAGTGTATGAAGTCATACTGGACTGACTTCAAATTCAGCAGCTTACATTGCTTTAGAAAAAAATTTTTAAAAGGCCAGGCACAGTGACTCATACCTGTAATCCCAGTGTTGTACTGGCCCGAGCATAGAAAGTCAACACCAAGACAAAAGTATGCCAAATTGCAGGGTCTTTATTGCCAGCGGCCACGGAGGACTCACATCTCTCCAACCCGTGGCCCCGAAAGGAGGGCGTCAAGACCCTTTATACCCGAAAAAATCACCTTGGGAGTGAGAGTGAGGGGCGGGGGTGGGGGTGAAGGGCTTCGGACATTCCAAGGGCTAGTGGATTCTGTAAATCACCTTCTGGGCAGAGATGAGGGTGAGGGGGTTCCAGACATTCTAGTGGATTCCTGGGCGAAGATAGGGTGAGGGGCTCCAGACATTCCGAGGGCCAGGGGACTTTTTGACATTCTGGTTGTTACTAAAGTGGTTCACAAAAGTCAAGTTAGCATTTGTTTACACATTGTCTGGGTAAGGTGGCGATTACAGTCCTTAATTACTTATTCACATTTGGGTTATAGAGAGCAGTTTCAACAGAAAGCTGAGGTATGGTTGAGGTATGCAGTTTTATGGGCTTTTTACCATGTCACACCAGCACTTTGGGAGGCCAAGGCGGATGGATCGCCCTGAAGTCAGGAGTTTGAGACCAGCTTGGCCAACGTGGTGAAACCCCATCTTTACCAGAAATACAAAAATTAGCCAGGCATGGTGGCACATGCCTGTAATCCCAGCTACTTGGGAGGCTGAGGCGGGAGAGTCCCTTGAACCCAGGAGGTGGAGATTGCAGTGAGCCCAGATCCTGCCACTGCACTCCAGCCTGGATGACAGAGCAAGACTGTGTCTCAAAAAAAAAAGAAGAGAAGGAGAATGGTTTAGAAACCCAAGCTTCAAATATCCATCCTCACTCTCATCTAGGCTCAGTCACTTTCAGAGCCATCATACAGATCTCTCTGTGTGTCTGTATGTGTGTGTCTATGTGTCTGTGTGTGTATTTTATGAGCTGGAGGACCTAAGATTTTAGGACAATGTTAGCAAAAGAACCATATAGACTAGTGGAGACAACAAAGTTTGCTTTAACCAGGTCGTTGTAAATGAAATACCTAAATTCTGTCCCCTTACCTCAGTCACTCAGTGGAACATTTTGGCATCCTCTCCATTTGTGGTCAACTTGGACTGGGGCAAATTTCAGTAGAACTGGGAGACAGCTGAGGAATGGTTGCTGAACGTCTTTCCCACAAGAATCCTCCTAGAATCAGTCTGTCAATTATGTGATACTGATTCCTTTACCAGGGAGACAAGTGCCTGCCCCCTTTCACCCCCGCCCCCACCCCAGCCACACTGAGCATGCACCCAAAGGCACCACTGTGGGATCTGCCATAGCAACAGCTGAACAGCTGGAGAGTTGCACCAATAGGCAGCCCATCACCAAGACTCAACAAGGCTGGACCATGGGGGGCCCCATTAGCGAAACCCCCCACCTCTTCTAGACTCACCCCATGTTTCCTACTCTGGGGGACTGCTAGTGATGTGCCCACAGTGCAGAAGGATTTCCTCCTTACCTCGTGATTGAAAGAAACAGGGCACATCCCCCTATTATGGTCTCAGTACTGTCCTCCATTCACATGCTTTTTCTTTGTTTTCCCCAGACTAAATAGGGAATGGAGGAAAGATACTCAAATGACAGGGAAAGAGGGGAGAGGGCAAATTATCAGAGACACGTGCATTTGGGGGCTGGGAAATACAGGAAACAATTCTGATGGTAATTGATGTTGACACAAAATGACCCATAGTACCATTTCAGGTTGTCCTCAGTGTCCTGGCCACCACCTTCATGACTGCATCAGTTTGCTAGGGATTCCATAACAAAGTACTGTAGACTGGGTTGCTTAAACAACAGGATTTTTTTTTTTTTTTTTTTTTTTGAGATTCTGCCTCGCTCTGTTGCCCAGGCTGGAGTGCAGTAGCAGGATCTCAGCTCACTGTAACCTCCGCCTCCCAGATTCAAGTGATCCTCCTGCCTCAGCCCCCGCTAGTAGCTGGAATTACAGGCACGTGCCATCATGCCCAGCTAATTTTTGTATTTTTAGTAGAGATGGGGTTTTGCCATGCTGGCCAGGTTGGTCTCGAACTCCTGACCTCAGGTGATCTACTCCTCTTGGCCTCCCAAAATGCTGGGATTACAGGCATGAGCCATCGCACTCAGCAAACAATAGGAATTTATTTCTCACAATTGTGGTGGTCAGGCGTCCGAGATCAAGGAGTCAGCAGGGTTGATTTCTTATGAGATATCTCCTTGGCTGTAGATGGCTGTCTTCATGTTCACAGGATCTTCCACCTGTGCCTATCAGGTCCTAATCTCTTCTTATAAGGACATCAGTGAAATTGGATTAGGGTCCAACGTGACCATGTTTTATCTTAATTACCCCTTTAAAGGCCCTTTCTCCAAATATATAGCCACATTCTGAGATACTAAGGGTTAGGACTTCAACATGTGAATTTGGGGGACTGCGGGGGGAGACGCAATTCAACCCACAGCAAGGACCAAACCAGGAGCCTCATCAGATCAGATTTTCTGTGCAAGGGTAGTTTTTAAGAATTATCTCATTCTCGTAGGGTAAATAAATAAGCATTCCAGATGCTTGCAGCTTCCCGCATCCAGGAGATGCTGTGTTCTCTGTGATGCAGCTGGAACCTGAGCTGCAGACAGGAGGTGTGAGTTTCAGGATGTTCCCCACTGAGCCGGAGGAATATCTATGGCAATGATGCTTCAGATTTTTGTATGAATTATTTATCATCCTATCCTTTTCCTTCAAAACAAAAATTAGAGGATTATTTTAATACTTCGGATTCTTCCCCTTTTTTGAGAAGTAGACTTTTTTTTTTTTTTTTTTTTTTTTTTCTGTTTTTTGTGTCGGTGTTTCGCTCTTTTTTCCCT